TGTATCTGGTTTCTTTAGCTTAGCATAATATTCAAGATTCATCCCCACTGTTGCATGAAAAAGTACTTCGTTCCTTTTATTATTATAATTATTATTAATATTCTTCTTTATACCTTTATTTCTATGTGGTGCTGAGGATCAAACCCAGTGCCTCACACATGTGCTCCACCACTGAGCCACAACCCTAGCCCACTTCATCCCTTTTATAGCTGAGTAATATTTCATTGTATGAATAAATCACATTTATCCATTGGACATTTGGGTTTCCACTTCACAGCTATTATAAATGCTGCTGATGTGAACATATGTATATAGGGTTTTATGTGGTATGTTTTTAGTTTACTGACTATAAACCTAGAGTAGAAGTGCTTGGTCATATGGTAACTTTCTTTTAAGTTTATGAGAAATCCTCAAAATGTATTCCACAGCTGCTGCATCATTTTACATTCACATCAACATGTACCAGAGTTCTAATTTTATCATTTCCTTACCAATACTTGTGATTTTCTCCCTTATTATAACCATCCTATAGTACATACAAAGTACGATCTCAGTGAGTTTTTTTCTGCACTTCTCAGTGAGATTTTGATCTGCATTTCCCTAAAATGGCAATGAGTGAACACCTTCTCATGTGCTTATTGGTCATTTGTGTTTGTTTGGAACAATGTCTATTCCAATCCTTTGCCCATTTTTAAACTGGATTGTCTTTTTATTATTGACTTATAAAAATTCATCCTATATTTTAGATGAGTCCCTTGTCGGCCATGTGGTTTACAAATAACTTCCCCCCACTCTGAGTTGTCTTTTTTATTTTCATGATGGTGTGCTTTGAAACAAAAGTTTTTAATTTTGAGGAAGTCCAATTTACTTCTTTTGTTGTTTATGTTTTGCTTCACTTTTTAATGGAACCAGAGAGAGTTAACTGGATCCACAAGATTATCATCAAACCCCACACCAAATTTAGAAAACGAATCAATCCCCAGCCCCATTGTCCTACCAGGTAAAAATGTCTTAGAACCCAAAACTCAGCAATGCCAAAGAAAAATCCTCAGCACAAAATACCAGAGTTCAAATTTAATTCTAGAATCATTTCAGGTATTTTAAATGTACCTTTCAAAATCAAAGTTCATCATTTTGTTTGAAATAATTGTTTAGAAATCAAATGATAATATAAATGAGGATGCAAACTGATATAAAATGACAGGAAAGCAAATGGCAAAACAACTACAATCTTTGTTCCTCTGGCTACTATAGTGTAATAAATAACAGTTAACCAAAAACACCTTTATTTTTTAGTCTTCAAAAAACAAACTAATTTCTTCTTTTCCAGGATAATCATGATTAACTTAGAAAAATGGTCATACAATACATCTTTAAAGCATTTCCCTTTAACGGGAAAATTAGCTTTAGAGAATCTAAACATTAAAAGATTTTTAAAAATCTATTTTGTTGTCATTATAAAACAAAATGGAATCTAGCATAAGTCAAGGAAATTCATTCACACTTCAGGTCCTTCTCCTCCAGGAACCAGCTGTATTGGAGGAAAAAGAGTATATTAATAGTATCACCATGTCATCTAAAAACCCCTATGTGCTCCCCATTAATCAAAGCCACCTTTGTCTCTTCCCCCCTCCCTCACATCCCCATTCTCTCCAGGTCATCAATATCTGGCTGTAATTCCCAACATTATAAATTAATACTATGTATCTCAACAATGATTTCTAACAAAATACAAAATTTTAAAAACCCAAGAAAATTAATCTTTAGGCCCAATGCCTTTACAATATCTCAGGCTTTTGGCCTTGACCATCAGAGAATCCTTAGTCTGTCTTAGACACTACTGGCCCATGAGCATTTAGTGAAGCAACCAGCAGTACAAGTTAGTTTTGTAATCCCTATTCTGCCAAAAGGACTAGCACCTAAATAAAATAGCTTAATGGATCTTACCATCGTTATATTATTTCCATTTAGCAAAATCTGATCTAATTTAGTAATCCGTCTTCCTTCTGGTGTGATTTCACTAAATGAACAGATAAAATTAGTCATGATAAACAGATAATCAAAGTCAACATTTTGGAAATACATTTCCTCTCTAAAATGGCTGTTCTTGAAGCTGGCATGCACAAAGCCTTGAGTTCAATCCCCAGCACCAAAAATGTTAATTTGCACATAAATGAAGGTGAGGTCAAGCAACTATATTAGTAATTTTCAGAGAAAAAAAGATTATCCACTAGGTAATGTACATTCTTCCTCATGGGCAACAGATTAGATTGATTAGCCTAAGATCTACATCTACTTCTTCATAAAAAAAAGCTGAAACTTGGGCTGAGGCGGTAGCTCATTAGTACAGCGCTTGCCTTGCACGTGAGTTTGATCTTCAGCGCCACATAAAAATAAATAAAGATATTGTGTCCATCTATAATTCAAAAAATATTTCAAAAAAAAAAAAGAAATGGAAACCTGCGATGGAGATCCAACACAACATGAAACATTTAGCAGCCTCATTCTTTTTCTTTAACGTATCTATTATTGCTGATCCCTAGTCATTAAACCAATCTGTAATCAATTCAATTTTAAAAACAGATGGTTATAATTTTTATAAATTAATACCATCAAGCCATAATTTACATTTTGTTATACAGTTAAAAGTTCTTATTACTAGTTCTTTAATTTGACCTGAGCTCTAAAATTACTATTTTTTAGTATCTTTTACCTTATAGCTCTGTCTATACTAACTTCCTAGCAATTTACTAAAAATTACATTAATAACCCTCTGATCCAATTTTACAAACATCAGTAAATAAAATTTGTTTTTAAGGTAATCCCATAACTAATGTTTTTTTATCATTTTACTGACTCAATCATATTATAATTGCATTTAACTAAAAAAACAGACATTTCCCCTGATTCTTTTTTTTTTTTTTAAGAGAGAGAGAGAGAGGAGAGAGAGAGAGAGAGAGAGAGAGAGAGAGAGAGAGAGAGAGAGAGAGAGAGAGAGAGAATTTTTTTAATATTTATTTTTTAGTTCTTGGCGGACACAACATCTTTGTTGGTATGTGGTGCTGAGGATCGAACCCGGGCCAGGTGAGCGCCGCTTGAGCCACACCCCCAGCCCCTCCCCTGATTCTTTAATCCTTGATACTACTTACAACTCAGTGACATCTTCCAGCACCATATCTGAAAATTGGAGTTAAGAAAATACATATATCAGGTTGAAATTATTCTGGCTTCTGCTTTTGTTCTATTTTAATTATGTTTAACACATTGACTCAAATTGAAAAGGCATATTATTGGTAGGAACTTCATCTTCTTTCAGTATAACTCTAACAATCAATCCTATCACCAGATTTCCCCAAATAAAATGATTTTTATCATCAGTCAGAAATATACTGAATGTCTATAACTCGTACCTGCATTAGAAAATACATTTTATTTTTTTTTTAATTTTTTATTTTTTTATTGGTTGTTCACAACATTACAAAGCTCTTGACATATCATATTTCATACATTAGATTGAAGTGGGTTATGAACTCCCAATTTTACCCCAAATGTAGTAAATACATTTTAAAAATCTAGGCCACCATCATTTTTTGAAAGGATACTGACAAAGTCATCAAATCCTAGAAGTGTTCCAACAATTTCCTTATCACTCTTCATCACAATGTGAATTCGTGATCCTATACACTTGTCCACAAGCTCTGTAGAGAAAACGTATTTTATCCATTCATTATTTCAACAAATTTGAAAGAGTGGGAGTGTGGTTCAGTGGTGGAGGCTTGCTGAGCATACCTGAGGACCTAGGTTCAATCCCCAGCACAGAGTGTGCCTACTGGCATGCCTTATTTGTATATTATGAAAGTTAAACCAGGAAAAATATTCATTCAACAACTTTAAGTCTCATAAAACAAATTTCTGTTCAAGCATTACTTAACAGAAAAGTCTTCCTTGATCTCCACTTACCTCTTCTTTGTAGTTATTAATGACTGTAGTTTTATTGTTTTACGTTACATGATTAATGCAACACACACACACACACACACACACACACACACACACACACACCATTCTCTCTGACTCTACAGTCAATTGGGCACAAACCATGGTTATTCTTGTTCATAACTCTTTTCCCAGTGATCCGTGTCTGACATATGCGGGGCATTCCAAAAGAGTCTGCCCAAGGAAAACGATTCAACCACAGTCACATCCACTAACTCAAACACTCTTCACCAACTACATATTGGAGGAAAGAGGCATAATTATCTTCACCAGAAACTTTCCTGTCACTACCTCCCTCACCCAAAGAAGTCCATCTGTGTTCTGACTGCATCTCTTTAGTCAGCTTAGCATTATTCTTATTGGCGTGCTGTCCGAAAGCACAGGCTGTGATTTTTTTTAAATACATTTTTTAATCTGTTGATGGACCTTTATTTTTCGGTGCAGAGAACCAAACCCAGCAAGCGCTCTACCACTGAGCCACAACCCCATCTCCACAAATGCTGTGACTTAAGTTCACTGTTGAACAGTGCCCAGATACTGTGTTGCAAACTACTTGATGAATGAGTGAGAAAAAGGACTAGTTTCCAGATTCCTCTTTTAAGGTTCGCTGCGGACGGTGGCACCAAGCTCAACCGACCACACAGATTATTAGGGTCTATCTAATCTGTGAACCTTAAATGCCAAGCCGAGAAGCGAGAAGCGAGAAGCGAAGCGGCTACCCGCGGCACAGTAGAGGCGAGTTCACCACAAAGAAAGCCGAGGCCGCTTTCACTAAGTGTGCACCTTTTCCAGTGCCGGCTGTGCCTCCGAAACCACGTTAGAGAGCAGCGGCGGCCTGGCGCCCGGAGTCCTGGAGTCCAGACCAGCCGCCGAGCGGGAAAGCGCTCGATACTTTTCCCCCTCGCTCCCAGGTCCTCAACCTCAGCTCCCGGCTCCGACTCCTAAAGGGAAGACGATTACCTAGCGGCAGCAGCTGCGACGGGTTGGTTGTAGCGTTAGCCGCCATGGCTAAGCCGGAAGTGGCCAGCGTCCTTCGACGTTAGAACCGCGACTTTAAAAGAGCGCGCTTCCGCTTTTTTCCGGCGCCGAAGCAGGCCCGACCAATCGGAAGCCGAGTGTACGATCTGCACAGTCCACGTGTATCGACCCGCTTAGTTTTTTTACGGAGTGGGATTCAGTGAAATAATTCCTTTCTCTGAGTATTCGGCCATTTCGATGGATGCCCTTCGTGCCCTCGAAGTTTCAGAAAAACGTTAAAGGTATTTTGCTTCGAGAATAAATCCTTCCCTCAATCCGGAGGACTACAAAATACGTAGACCATTGTGGCGCCTTATTTCCCCCTAGAAAGTTGCATCTTATCTCAAGCCAGTAACTTTCTTCAGAACAATAAAATAAATTCAAATTTCCCGTCTCTAAGTGTGTTCTGTAGTTTTCGCAAAAACTACTTTAAAAAAAAAAAGATTGGGGTGGGGGGATTTAACCCGGGAGCGCTCACTGAGCCACATCTCCAGCTGTTTTTTCTTTTGTTGTTGTTTTTGTTTTTTGGTTTGGGGGTTTTTTGTTTTGTTTTGTTTTGAGACAGGGCCTCGCTAAATTGATAAGACTTGTGATCCTTCTGTCTCAGCCTCCAGAGTCACTGGGATTGCAAGGCCTGTGCCACTGCGCCAGGCACTACTCATTTTCTTAAGGAATCTGCTGCTTCTAAATCCAGAGGATTGAAAATCCACAACTAACTTAAAAAGACTTTCTATACTGGGACTTCTTAATTTTTTTTCCTAAGGTCTTACTAGTTTTGTTATATCTAGGCGTCTAACATGGGCTTTTCCATTCAGTATTTCTTCACCAAATAATTATTGTCTGACAGGCAACCACCAAATGTCAGTCATTCTATATGTCAATGTCATCACACTTAGAAAAGCATGCTTTTTCACTTCTGTTTTAAAAGTATAGAAAGCAAACAAATTCTTAGTCCATTTTACATTCATATTCCGGGAACTTAAAGCTAAACAATATAAATGAAATGTCACAGAAAAAATAAGTCCTGCAATAAATACTTGATAAATATTCATTTCCTTCATGGAACACACATGTATTTGTTGCATACTATGTGACCAGCAACTTGCTTAGTACAAAGTAATGTACAGAACAAAAAGGGTCTTCTGCTGTTTTTTTTTTTAATGTTCAAAACATTTATGAAACCAGTTGAGTTTGACTTACATAATTTCAACAAATATTTAATGATAAATTGTGGTATACAGTGCACTGATGCTAGAAGAAAAGCTTATTTACAACTTAAGGAACAAAGTTTTTAAATTAAATATAGATTTTAGAAATACATTCACTATGTAGTACTACCATAATCAAAATGGATTTTCCCAGAATCATGTAAGTATCCAGTGAAATTACGAGGTGAACTTTCTTTTTTTCCAATTATATTTGTAAAATCTAATATGTTTACTTGCTTGTGAGTCTTTGCCTGTCTGATCTTTTCAGCTTTGGTGATTAACTTCTCAGTGCCTCTTTTCTTTTACCTTCTTCTATTCTTGCTTAAGGATGAATGGAGGAGAAAGACAAGTACAAACTTTATGTACAAGGCACCATGAATAATAAAACCAAAAGACCTCTTTATACCTTCAGAGATCCTGGAGAACTCAACTCGTTTCTAAATTTCAACAAATCTGTCTTTTTCCCCACCCCAATCCATAAATATCAAGCACCTACTAGGTACCAGAACACTTAACAAATACACTTCTAACCTTTACAAACATCTTTTGAGACAAGTATGATGAGATTGTACTCAAAGTTAAACAATTGTCCCACCAGCCAAAGGAATTGACAGAAGTCTAGTCTCAGAGTGTGTATAAAAGTTAAACATGCAAAATAGGGGCAAGAGCAATATTCCAAATAGAGTGGCATGTACCTACCCCCATACCTCTCCTGCTGTATTTTTATTAAAATCTTACATACTTCCTCTAAGTTTATCATAAAACCCTTCCATTCCCAAATATATTTCCATAATAGCGGTCTTCAGTGATTTTATTTTAATGTACTTTATGATCCCCTTCCCCCACTTCAGGTAAAATCTTGCACATCCTTCAAGACCCTTATCAAATATGATCACCTCTGACTCTTGTAGACTTGGTGGACTCTTTCATTATTTGGCAGCAATACTAATAGCTATCAGAATGTTTTCAGCGATTTTCGTATAATTATTAACAAGGCTATCTCTCCCTAAAAGACTAAGTTCCTTGAGGCAAAGAATATTGTAAAGCAATAGTGTGTAGTGTTTAAATCCACTGACTGATTCAAACTCCAGCTCCACCATGATTCCTTGTAATTATTTGACATGAGCAAGTTGCTTAACCTTTTTAAGTCTCAATTTACCCACTGGGGGAAAAAAGGGATAATAGTACCTATTTAGGAAATTACTATGAAGATTAAATGAGGGCTGGGGTTGTGGCTCAGTGGTAGAGTGCTCGATATTACATATGAGACACTGGGTTCAATCCTTAGCACCATATAAAAAGATAAATAATTAAGATGTCCAAAAATTTTTTTAAAAAGATTAAATAAGATAATTGATGAAAAAGGTTAGCATAGGACCTGGAAAATAGTAAACCTATTAAATTTGAGCTACTATTATTTACCTTTGTTTCCCTAACATGATTGTTGGCTTAGAGTAGGGTCTACACACTTAGCTGGTTTAAAATTCATCTTATTTTTATAACCAAACATGAACCACTTTAAGGCAGCAATATCCTGTTTGATGCACTGTGCCTAACACAATTCCAGTATACTGTAGTTCCCAATGAATGTTTATTAAATTCTTTTTCATTCATACCCGTCAGTATTCTACTTAATCTCCATAAGGTTCTAAACACAATGTTATGCTCTTTGTTTGTGAAGCCCTATTCTTTCTGTGGTTTTTCTTTTCCATCCTTATTTCTGTTTTATTTTCACCAAACCATACTGAGAGTATGGATCAAATTCAAGGCATTGCCATTACTAGATATGAGTATAAAAATCAGAAAAGCATACTTTTAAGAGGCCATGCAAGGTGATGCACAACCGTAATCCTAGTAATGCAGGAGGCTGAGGAAGCAAGATCACAAGTTTGAGGTCAGCCTGGGCAACTTGTGAGACCCTGTCTTAAAACAACAACAACAACAAAAAAAAAAACTAGGGATGTAGCTCATTAGTAGAGTGCCCCTGGGATCAATCCCTGGTACTGGAAAGGAAAGAAGGAAGGAGGGAGGGAAAATAGGAAAGAAGGAAGGAGGGGAAAAAGGAAGGAAGTCATTGCTCTGAATTTTCCATTATAAGAGCAAAATGAATGTTAGCAATTTTCAATGCCACTAAAGAATAAAGAAAGTCTCTTTAGACTCTGAAAAATGTGTCACATATAGTTCAATTACACAATAGAATTAATAAGGACTACAGTTAATAAGGACTACTACTAAGTGTCTCATTAAACACTTGTTTATCAGCAAAATGATAATAATGTAAAAAATTTGTTATTCTAAATAGAATATTCTAAACAGAAATGGTAGTGGTTTCATTTATTGTATTCTTTTTGAGGCAAGATCTCAAAAAAGAAACAACAGGACAATTCCAGATGGAATTTTAATGAACTTGAAATGTCATATTTCTATTTCTTAAGGTTTTTTTTTCCTTTAGTTCTTTTTTTGCAGAGCAGACATAAATAGAATTTATAATTCATCATAAAGTGTATGTAATTTGAAGAGGCTCTCCAAATGTATTATGTGTTCAGAAAGGCATTTCTAATTTTTTTCCCCTGGAACTGAATGTTATTGTGTAAATATAACCAAAAGTCTCCTTTCAAATAAAGTTTCACAAAAGTAATCAATTATCTCAAATTGGTGTTTCCAGTCTTGATAATCTACTTCTCATACTTTTTAAAACAGGAGAAATTTCTGTTATTTTCCTAGTAGATATTTGTCCTTTGTGGGCAATATCCTGTTAATAAATTTATTCAACGTTAATAGAACTCGTTTAAAAACTAATGTAGACCAGTGGCTTGAGAGACTGAGAAGGGGGATTGCAGGTACAAAATCAGCCTCAGGGGCTGGGGTTGTGGCTCAGTGGGAGAGCACTTGCCTTGCATGTGTGAGGCACTGGGTTCAATCCTCAGCGCTACATAATAAAATAAGGGTATTGCATCCTTCTACAACTAAAAAAAAAAAAAAGAAAGAAAAAAAGAAATTAAAAAAAAAACAGCCTCAGCAACTTAGTGAAACCCTATCTCAAAAAAAAAAAAGAATTTTTTTTAATCTGTTACTGTTGTGATACCTGGTACCATTTTTAAAAATCAGTTTCTCAATCATCATCTGAAAAGAAAACATCCTGTCTCAAAGTTTTTTTAAAAAAGGACTGGGAATGTTGCTTAGTGGTTAGGTGCCTCTGGGTTCAATCCCTGGTACCAATAAATAAATAAGTAATTAAACTAACGTAGATCTGCTTGGGGCTTATGCTGGCAGAGTAGAGCCCATGGTGCTGTGATGTTGCTCCTGGAAAGCAAGCCAGCAGTTCCTGATGGAGCTGACCAGATTCTTCCAAAGTGTCAGTTGTCCCTCGGCGCATACATTGAAGAAATGTGAAGGTGGAACTAAACCTGCACTGAGGAAAGGTTCTGTGGAAGACAATTGAGCTCTCAGACAAGTGTCTGTTAAGATCTATGAATGGAAAAAAGATCGTCATTGTGGTAGACTCCAAAGAAGTGAATAAAGTTTCAGATGGCTTATTCAAACCTATTGAGGACTAACATGGATGGGCTGCAGTGAAAACCAGCAAAAGCAAAGCAGCACAGTGAAGGGCACTGAATTCTCAGCTTTTGCTAACTAACCACTGAATTGGTATTTGCCAAAGGCCAATGTCTCGGCTTGGCACCAGAATCACGAGGCACTCACAGCTTTGTAGGTTCAAACAGCAATTCTTTATTCCCGCTCTCACACCGCCTCCACACAGGTCCAGGGGCAAACACGTTCTGCCGTCTCCCGCACCAACCACCTACTTCACGAGGCTATCTCCAAATCCCATTTTAATCTCACGAGAACTCAACGGGAACAAGCAGCAGGAACACCCTAATCCCAGCAATAATCTTCAACTCCCAACTTCCCTAAAACCCATTATCTTAAACTGGCAACGCCTTAAACTCAAGGAGCCGGTTACTTACTCAAACCTGATCAGCTCTAAACCCGGATCCGCCTTGGTCCTTGAGCAAGGTCACCTCATTAAAGCATGCATGCAATGTCCCATCAAATGTCCTCTAAGCAGCATGGGGTACGCTTGGCAAGGAAATTTCGATGCGTCATTCCTACTTGGTAATGGCCCTCAGCAGGTATTTTTCCTTTGGTTTTTACTTTTGGTCACAAAGCTAGGCTTCTGGTTCCCTCACCCATAACTGTATTTGTGTAAGATTCAGGTTGTTTGGGGAGAGAAGAGTTGCAGTCAGTTTACAGGGTAATTGTGGTAAGACAACAGTTTATTTCAGATCTGTGCTGCATGGATATATATCCCTGGATTATAATTTTTATAAGTCTCTATAGTCACCTCTGTGAAGAGCAGTGTCTCATTAAACACTTGTTTATCAGCAAAATGATAATAATGTAAAGAAGTTGTTATTCTAAATTGTTAATGGATCAGTCTGTATATTTGCAGACAGAAAAAAAAATACTAGAAATTCCCTTGCTTATTTTTCTCTCCCAGTTTTTCCAGTTACATATTGTTAGGTCGGTTTGAACATCAATCAGATGCTGGTGGAAACGCCTGTCAATCAGCCAGATCTCCTAACTCCTGTCAATCAGCAGGACCCCCTGGCCAATCCTGGAGTTCAGCCAACTCCCCTGACCAACTCCAAGGGGGCAAGGGACCCTAGAGACACCTTTTCCTGTCCCAAGCCCTTCCCTTCCTGCTGTAAGCCCCATAAAAGTCCAGTCCAGTCCGCTTCCACGCGGTTTCTCCTCAGACGCTTCCCCTGTCCCCTCTGTAGGTCTGATCAAGTTCCTCCCGGGAGTGATATCTCAATAAAGCCTGTTCAGCGGCCCTTTTAAATCTGCCTCCTTTGGTTGCTGCCTGTCCAGCCTGATCTGATACATATCTCCTTTGTTTATAGTATTATTTTAAAGGTAGTAGGGTCAAACCCAGGACCTCTTGCATGCTAGACAAGTTCTCCACCACTGAGTTACATCCTCAGCCCCAAGAATTTTTTTTCCACATTTAACCAACATAACAGATATGAATAGATGATTTAGTCTTAGGTGAAAGCTCCAGGATGCAAAGTGACACACATATATAAAAGCTGTTACTGAGTAGACAGAGTTCTAATATGCTCTGTCCTTATATTTCTTTAAAAGGCTTTCAGTTAGTTTGGGGCTGAGGATGTGGCTCAAGCAGTAGCGCGATCACCTGCCATGCGTGCGGCCGGGGTTCAATCCTGAGCACCATATACAAAACAAAGATGTTGTGCCCGGCGAAAACTAAAAAATAAATATTTAAATTCTCTCTCCCTTAAAAAAAAAAAAAGGCTTTCAGTAAGACTTAAACTTTAGCTATACCAATTGTTGAAACATCTGGGCAGTTTACATCAAGAAAATGTTAACACAGCAAACAGTTGACATACCAAACAAGTAGCATATCAAGAAATAACTAACAAATTCTATTTATAGGAAACAATATAATTTTACACACATTTCTGAGCCAATGCCAAGTTTTGTAATATAAAAAAAAATAGATGGAAACATACTGAAAATTCTCAGTATTTTATTAACATTAAAACAGTTTTACTGGCCTGGAATGGTAGCACACACCTGTAATCCCAGCAGCTCAGGAGGCTGAGGCAGGAGGATCAAAGCCAGCTTCAGCAACAGTGAGGGACTATGCAACTCAGTGAGCCTCTGTCTCTAAATAAAACACAAAAATAGGGCTGGGGATGTGGCTTAGTGGTTGAGTGCTCCTGAGTTCAATCCCTGGTACTCCTCCACCAAAAAAAAAAAAAAAAAAAAAACCAGTTCTACTGAATCATAGAAATTAAACTTGACTCGAAAACTGCTGTTTTTCTCAGGTATCCTTAGATTAGAATGGAAGTCTTTTACATTTCAAGACAAGATATGGAAAATATCAAATGCTAAAGTTGCCTATACTAAAGGACATGCAACTTAGTGAAGATATACTTCAATTCCAGTTATTATAGTAATATCAAACTGTATTTGAAGCAGGCAGCTATACTTTATTTAATTCTCAAACTTCCCTGGCTATGACTTTTTAAATCTGCTAGCATTTCTATTATTCACTTTAAATTTATATGAGATTTGTAGATTTAAAATTTTGAAATAATACAATCAATAAAGGAATTAAACCCTAGACAAACATATCCATACATTTTGTGCTAAGCTAAATAGTAAACACATGAAAAGATGGAATGAAAAAAAATTTAATCTTGGGACTAGATAATCATTTTACAGGTCTCCATGTAAACATCCTTTATTGTCAAGGATGTTCTGCTTTAGGCCGTAAAAAAGCTTCCAAACTCTTTTTTGTCCCCAAAGTCTTACAAATTTCAAATGAGAAAACCAAGAAGAAAACAAAAAGCAATCTCGGGTAAGTAAGCAATTTAAAGGTTGAATACACAAGATACTCAGCTTCGCCAATCTGCTTCCTAGTTTTTAAATATTTAAAGGAATGTCAGAGCAGAAAGACTCTAAGCCAGAGGGTGGAGGGTCTTAAAGAGAGAACAGAAGATGTTCACAAAGAAAGCAAGCTAAGGAACAAGGAGGGAAAGGGCAGAGATTTTAAGGAGGAAGAATAGATAACAACGGGAAGAGAAAAAAACTTGACGTCAAATCTCAAGAAAGAGGAGCAGGTGTGACCAACAGCGCCCCCAGGACCTCCCAGAGGCCCCGCCCTTACCCCCCACGATGATTCCTCCCTGGCCCCGCCCTCTCCGTATGAACCCTGCCCACCTACCACGAAGGCCACGCCCCTGTCTTGGAGACCTATCTTCCTCTAACCACGCCCCTCCCCAGGCTCCGCCCTTTCCCCTCCGGCTCC